GTAAATAGGATCACAAGTCTGCATCTTGTACAGCAATTAACCACTAAGAAGAATATATGCAGTGTATTATTTGTTGAAAAATAAAAAAATAAAATAAAAATAAAAGCAAAAAAGGAAAAATACTAGTAATCTGCATTTGTATGCTGAAAGTAAGAATGAAAGAAAAAGAAGCAGCTAATAGTCTCTCCATCAAAAATTGTTTTGGTTGGGGAAACTTTCCTTTTTCATTTCAAATGTTGCAGAGCAAGTTTGAGATTCATAGAAAATTTGGTAGCTCCCAGCATTCAGAATTGTTGGAAAAACATATTTGGTGAAAACATTGATCACTGAATACATTTTTAACTCACAAATGGCATCAAAGTCTTAAACCAGCATCCCACTAGCAAGCTCAGCACCAACGCTTTGGAGTCTGCTGCTGATCATTTCTTTTCATATGGCCCAGCGCTGTTCTGAATTTGTCTTATAGTTAATGGAGCTGTCTTCTTTCTTCTAGGTCATGGATTCGGTTCATCAAAGATGTCTCGTGCACAGACGTTTCCCAGCTATGCCACAGAACAGAGTGAAGAGGCACAGCCTCCTTTGTCACGGTCCAGCAGCTATGGCTTCAGCTACAGCTCCAGCCTCATCCAATGACACACAGGGGGCACTGCTGACCAGACAGACAGTCTGTCCTGGACCTGCCTGCAGGGTCATTGCACCCTCTGCCTCCTGGAAGACCAATTGCAGTACAAAATGCATGGGTTGGGTCTAGCCCCAATCCCATTGGAAGGTTAAAAACTGGAGTTCTGCTTCCTTGATTCAGTGGCTAAGTATTTTATTTATTGAATTTCTATGGGGGAATCTATGTTTTACGATAATAGAATCCAAATCGTATGAATAGTCTTTAAATAAACAAAATTCTTTGGGTCTGACGTAACAGAAGCCTTGGCACTGGGAAGAGTTCACCACACTGGTGGTAACTAGGAGACAGGCAGCTACCCTGTCTTCAGCACCTAGTCCTGCCTCTGAGCACAGGGTCTGTCCTTAGGCATCATGCTGATCAACCACAAATTTTGTGGCTTTTTCAGTTTTGACAGGGTCAAATCCAGTAAACTCTGCAAATGACATGTTAACACTCCATATAAATAAATCCAGTGACAATTAAGGGAATATGAAATTAGAAAACTCTGTTATTCAGGGTCTGGTAGCTCTACTGTTGTGTGTGTGTGTATGTGTGTGTGTGTGTGTGTGTGCGCGCCTGTGTGTATGTGTGTGTAGACAAATATGGATATTACTATATCCATCTATATTTAACAAGTATATATATAAATATACATGTGCTGATGGTGACAGGATATGCTCACTTAAATTGTTGAAAATTGTAATTTGTTGCATTAAAATTAAGATTGTTATGTTGAATAGCTATTTTTAAAATAGTGCTCTTTAAAAAAAAAAGGCTTCTTAGCAAAAGTATTTATGTAGTCCAGTCTGCTCCTGTGAAAAGTCTGAGCAAAAATGCGAGAAGAAGAAACTGTTGGAAGCAAGAACCTGACTGTCCTACCTGTCATTGCTGTCAAGCTGTGTGTCTGGTTAGCATTGCCTTGCTGTTGACAGAGTCTCTCTCCTCAGCCATTCTTCTGAGTTATGCAAGGATGATCTGGTGTGATCACTGGTTAGCTTTCAATTAACCTGGGAGAAAAGAGACTACAAATGAAACACTAAGAATTAAAACACACACACATTTAAAAAGAACTCGGCTATTTTTCAATTAGGAGAAAGAAAAACAGACACAGATTAGTGGCTATCAACATTTGAAAATTCATAGATGCTGTCCCCAAGGGCCATCAGGTGCTTGTCATTCAGAAGTCACAGGGGCTTGATTGTCTCCTGTAATGGACAGGGTTTGTTCAAGGTTATAGATGAAAAAAGTTCAAATATAAATGCTTTTGGCCCTGCCACTATTGGTGAATGCCCAAGAGGAAAGGACAGTAGTGTTTCCCACATGAATTGAGGAAGTCAGGCTAATCCAAATCAACATAAATAAGTGTGCCCCTACATTGAAAAGTAAAAATAAAAGTTTTTCTTCTTGAGTCATCTCGTACAATGTGCCTCATATTGGTATCTGTCAACTAATCCAGCATATATTTAAAGAACAGTGAGCCTGACCTTTTTTAATAGCAAAATTTTTTATACTATCAAAAGCAGTGTATAGAAGGGGTACCTATTTTGTTGATCTCTGTTAAGATTTTTGTCACCCGTGTTCATAGCCTGAGAGTAGACTGACAATTCATTTCAGTGAATTACTGCTGAATAAAAATGGTTCCGCATCCCTTTTTGATAAATGTACACTTACAACTACCTAGGCTCTCCAAATCACTGATAGATATGAAGACTCCATCAAGATGCTAATCATAAGAGTTAATGTGGCTGCAAAAAATAATTACCCTAAGCCTTCAGGGATAAAAAGGAAATTACCCAAACTCTCTATGCTGTGAATTTTGCTGACACAGCAGAGGAGCAGATGACTGGTTCCTTCAGAGGATACAGCTTTCCCTGGGATCCCTGTGTTCAGGATTGACACCTCTGAATTTCATGGCATTTGCTTCAAAAATGCCATTATTCACATATAGCAGAGCAACTCCCAGCTGAGACCCTTTGAGCACAGTTCCTAGTGCAGCCAATGCGGAGCGAGCCTCTTGCTGCCTCACTCAGTTGAGCTGTTGCTTAGGCACCAGAAGTTTCTATAAGGGACTTATGGGAAAGGCCCTCAGGGGTCCTGGGCCATGTCTCAGCTTTATTAATGTGCCAGAAGCACAGACAGCGGGTCCAGGGGGATTCTGCTAATTACATGAGTCTGCTCTTTTGTCTCTTTGGTGGGAGACAAATATCTGCATGAATTGCTTCCAGAACACTGCTGGGGTCTGATCTTCCCCGGCAAGCTAACCAAAAAAGCATAACCTTGGGCCAGTTTACTCTGAAAACGCGTCACAGAAAAAGTGTATGAGAAATTTACTTCCTAAGGCTTTAACCCAATCTCATCATACTGAGAGTGGCACTATAAAATATCTCATGGTATGGTTTTAGAGCTCTATCCTAGCATCCTTATCCAAGTATATTTCCAGTTGAGTCAAAAGTGAAAAATGAACAGATAGAACTTATAGTAACCTCATACACAGGACAAAAGACAGTGTTCATTATAATAAAAATGACTAGCAAATTGAGCTACTGAGACCAAAGATGGAAAGTTGCTTGTACCAGTACCTTAGAACGTCACAAAAATCAGTTCCGTTGGAATGACTAGAATAGCTGTGGGAATGTGTTCAAGTCATCTGAGCACAGAGGATTTTGACTGAAGATGCCTCTGCGCTTTGCAAGTCCTTTCTCCCTCCAGAGAAATTCTATATCTTTAATATTAAGACAACTTTTTCATTGTGAGGGAGGGATTTCTATGAACCAAAGACATATTTTGGCTCCTGAAAGTGACTCAGCTTGGGTCTTACCCAGATTAGTCTGTATAAATATAGTCACCATTTGTACATTGGTTTCCTAGAGATCAGTGATCAAGGAACTTCACATACATAATGAAGTCTCTTCTGACAGCAGAGACAGCCTGGAGGCATAAAATTTCACAGAAGGATTTATGAGAGGATTTATTTTTCGTGTCCCCAGTTTTTTCTTCTGATAATCTTGATTAGTGTAGATATAACCAACATACGACATTGTATTTAAAATAAAGAAAAGTACACAATGGACTTGACCCAGTAGTTCACTATTCTGAGGGAGGAGGATAAAATATGTCTTTCACTTACTTACTGGACAAGCAATAGGCACAAAGACATAGTTTATTTAAGTAGGTAGCAAATATTTATGAATCTATAAGTTCTGGCCACTGCCAATATTTGAATTTTATAAAACAATACATATTTAGTTACCTATTAAGGAAGATGCTGATTGACAGGGCATGTGAACTAAACTTCACCTCTTTTACCATCTAGTAATCACAGCACTGGCCCTAGTATCTTGAGCAATTCTCTTCTGTCTCCATTGGGCAATTATGTTTGAAAAACACCCATCACCTATAAAATGATTGGCCATTGATATGTTCTATCCAACATAGAAACAGTGGCTTCACAAAAATCTTTACACTGTCAGTAGTTTCTACAAATCCAATTTACTGCATGTGGTATCTTTATAGTAGATATTACAGATGTATTATACAAATTGATGTCTACTCATTATTTGGCTAATATCTCCAATAACTCTGAGAAAAAGCATGAATACATTACTCCCTTGATTGTTGGAACAATTTACTTACTAAAGTCAGCCATTAGTGCCATATGCAAAGAAGACAAGGAAATTATATTCTTACAAAAATCTTAGTCCAGTTCTGTTATAGCACAGCACAATAAATGGACAATGCACATCCAGTGAGGATGAGCTTTAGACTTGTACCCTCAAGTTTTACAAGAAAAGCTATACTAATCATTTATCAAAGTGAAAAATATATATTCTCCAATTCTATTAACATGCCTACCAACATTTTACAGATTATATTATCAGTAACTAATATATACTCCTAGACCATTTTCTCTCAGAACAGATAAAAATTTACCCCAGGCATGTATTAGTAATTATAACAAAGGTGATAGGTCACACATTACTATCTAGCCTATGAAATTCGTGGAGCGGATACACGTAGGGATGAAATTTATAGAGTGCAATTTCGCATGGGTGAAACTGGGGAGGATTATATCTAAAGCAAGAGCAACACTTCAACTGCTTTCCTAACACTGTGACCCAGCTCAGTGTCATGCACTTGGCCTTTCCATATCGTATCAATTCTTAACATGGCCACAGAAACACACATTGCCAACACATATGCTCTTTTCCATTTTATAAAAAAATTATAACACAGAAGAATATGCAAAATTGTTCCCTACTAAAATGTATCTTCAATAACAGAATCATTTTTGTGTGGCCACAAAAGTCTTTACACTGTCCGTAGTTTCTACAAATCCAATTTACTGCATGTGGTATCTTTATAGTAGATATTACAAATGTATTATACAAATTGAGGTCTTTTCATTATTTGGCTAATATCTCCAATAACTCTGAGAAGAAGCTTGAATACATTACTCCCATTTTATTGTTATTATGAATATATATTATCATGACACACATGGCTAGTGGTTAAATATGTGAGAAAAGATCAGCAATCTCATGTGTGTATTTCTGTAAACATATTAGACAGACTACCCTTTTCTCTGTGGAACAACCAAAAATCCATACTCTCTCTCTCTCTCTCTCAAGAATGTGAACTTTCTTTTACTTCCACATTTGTTTCAACAGAGGAGGCAAACAAGTATGAAATGCTGAGCACATTTTCTACACAGGCAGACTGCTAGCCGGCTCTAGAGGCAATCTTAAAGGTCATACAAAATAAAGGTTTCACTTTGGTTTCTTCAGAAGAAAACTGAAATCCGTGGATGCTGCATTTTGTTAAGGGCAAAGAAATGGCCTGGAATCCTCTCTCCCAGTTCCAGGGTTCATGTCAGGGAATGTTTCTGTGGCTCTATCTTCTCTTCCAATTAAACCTAGCACAAGTTGAGAATTACCACACGGCCACATGATAAAAGTGCCATTGCATGTTCAAGGTTTTCCCCATATTTTTAAGATGCTGTTGTTCCTCTTGGGTTCAATACCAACCACATTCTTTGAAAGGCTTTCTGAGATAATGCATTAGACTTGTAGGTTGTGAATGACTGGTGTAAGCTTTATTAATCTTAAATTGTCATCCAATGACTTATTTGTTTAAAACTCAGACTTATTTATCATAAAATAATAGTAAAATATCTAGTAGTCATGTGTATTTTGCTGCCCTGCTAAACCCTCGTATTGTAATCATGATCATTATTTTAGAATCTTTATTGCTCCATATCACTTTATGATGTCATTATTCATATTATTTGTACAAAACCTTATTAGGCAACACCTTGTCATAGCTACATTTTTTTCATATGATCTTCAAATAGCTTCCAACTTCACCAGAAATTTCAAAAATTATTTGTTTTACATTAAAATACTTTGTGATTCAAGTTTTCTTTATAAGCAATTATTTACTTTTACTGAAGTTTAGATACATAAGAAGTAATCTGGAAGTATTAAACAACACGAAAGCCACAATTTATTTGTAATTTTCAGATATGTTTCCCTGATTTTAACATCTTGTAAACATGTGGAGAGGAAAAAGAATTTGTAATTGAAATATTC